GAAGGAGGAGGAAGAGGAGGAGGAGGAGGAGGAGAAAGGAGGAGGAACTTCGCCCAACACGTGGCAAATGGCACTTCGACTGATAAAGAAAACTAATGAGGAGGGGGATGAGGAGGAGAAAGGAGGAGGAGGAGAGAAGAAGACGAAGGGAGGAGGAGGAGGAGGAGGAGGAGAAGGATCTGCCGGTTTCTTGATACATCGACGAAAAAAAAAAAAAGATAAGGATGACGAAGGAGGACGAGGAGGAGGGGAGAGAGAGAGAGAGAGAGAGAGAGAGAGAGAGAGAGAGAGCTGACACGTGGCACTTCGCGCAACGGTACCGTATCGACGACGACGGGCGGCGAGGACGAGCTGGGTGGTCCTTTCCCCAGCGACGACGGGCAGCGGCGGCGGCAGTGACGACGGGCACCTCAGCAATGGCGGGCAGCGACGGGCGTCGATGGTGGGAGCACTACCTCGGCGAAGGCGGGCAGCGACGGCCGTCGACGGTGGGAGCACTTCCTCGGCAAAGGCGGGCAGCGAAGGGCGTCGCAGGGAGCACTACCTCGGCGGGAGCAGCTCGATTCAGAATCTTCGAATTCTAAGGGAGCGCGCGACCGAAAATTTTTGCGGGGGGGGGGGGGGGGAAGGCTCCCAAGGCCCAGAATAGTCGAAACAGGCCTCCCTTCCCCCCCGCGCAAAAATGCGCTAGGCCCGCCCGGCATCGAACCGGGGGACTCAACCGGCCGGGCCGCCCGGGACCCCTGCCGGACGGAGACTGCGCTGCCGGGCGGCCCGGAATGTAACACATATTTTCATTATTATTATTGATTTTTAGTATTTGATTTTTATTTCAAATTTGGTAAAGAATTTGGATGTAACATTGAGGCAAATGTTGTTTAGTTTATTCTTCTGTATAACATATTGAAACGGTTTTCACCTTTTTGCAGTACCAAATGCAGATCCCAGGGCTCGATCGACATTGCCTACCTGTGATAAGTACCTGTGTCGACCCCGAGGCTTGAACCCACGACCTGTGTATTGGTAACAGTTAGTAGACTGTCGTAGGGTCCGTAGGTCGCGGGGGTTCGATCTGTAGATCTGTAGAATAGAAGTCTTAGCGAGTTCCAGAAGTCTTAGCTGTAGTCCTTCTAGAAGGTCAGCAAGTGGGCAAGTGGGCAAGTGGGCAAGTGGTGAGTCAAGTGGTGGACCGACTGCAGTGCAATTGCAGTACGACCTCAGTAGGTTAGCAGTGAGTCCCCATTTAGTCAGCGGTAAGGTCCAGTCAGTCCCAGTCCGGTCCAGCAAGTACCACGAGGG